GCTGCGAACTACACGCCGCAAGTACTTTCTGATCACTTTTGTCAGGTTCTGGATATGGCATAACACGATCGGCTTTAACTAACTCAGCGATCACACAGTTAGTGGGTAATGTGATGTCATGGTTAGTTTCGTTTCTTAGTACAACAGGTACTTTGTATGGACCATGTGAAGGTAAGGAAATGAGGCAACAGTCTACAATTATACCCCCTGGTAGAGAACCATTGGTGGGTTGTTCAATGAGTGCATAAGGCTCATGCTTGTTTTGGCTGGGTTGCATAAACCCTTCTAGTAACAGTTTTTTATTTGCAGGGAGAACTTCTTGGGTTCTCCCTCGAAGCTTCACCACACCAACTCGTCCATCTTTGCTTTGTTTTTTTCTGACTGCTAAGGCTTTTAGCACGTGTTGGTACCCATAAGAGAGTGCCTTGGAATCAGGTAAGTTATTGGCAGACAATTGCTCATACAAAGGATCGAGTGTGTTTGTGCCAATGAGTAGTGGTGTATCAGAGTTTGAGCTTATATCCGGAACCACTAACGCAAGGGTAGGTAACTCAAGTCCAGACTGATCGAGCTCTTTTGGAAATGTGACACTTATCTCTATGTATCCTAAATAAGGAACTGCTTGACCGTTTGCGCCCTCGACTTCTAACAGATTACTGATGGGTTTAATTGAGAGGTCAGGTAAGTGTTCTTGGTAAAAAGAATTGGCAATGGTGGTTACCTGGGACCCTGAATCCAGTAAACAATTACATTCAACACTGTTAACTGAGACTGTAGCTGTGCATCGCCCACCCACTAATCTTTTGGGAAGTTTTGGCACTGAATGAGCATGAACTGGCTTGCAAAAAAGTCTCTCTGTCCTTTCCTTAGAGGGACTTGGTTCTACTTTAGCACCTATCTGTCCCACGATAGGAGCTTCTACCGGTTTAAAGGAGGAGACTGAGCAATTGGCTTTGACATCTCCCACTCGCGCTGCTTCTGTCTAAGAGCAAGTCTTTTAGTTGCAACTAGTGCTGGATTTGGCTCGTTGCTACAGCTAGAAGCTATGTGGCCATCTTCTCCGCACTTAAAACAGTATCCAGGCTTTGGTCTGGGCACCACTGCTGTTATCTGCTGAATCTGTTTGGGCTCATCTGGAATTTTAGTCCCCACACGGGGTTTTGACTCTTTTTGAGTTTTCTTTGCCTTTTTATCTGTGTTGTTAACCTTAAGCTGTGCAATTTGGCTCCTGAGCTCAGCGATTTGTTTGCGTAAGTCATCACAGTTATCATCTATTTCCAGTTCACAAGTGTTTTTACTCTGAGAGCATGTTGTTTGCACATTTGAATACACTCTAGTTCGTTGTGCCCCTAAGTGTTGTTTCATGCGTGCTGCTTTAGTAGCCTGTTTGTCTTCTTCAGTGCGCAGTTTGAGGAGAAGTGCTGTAAAATGAGGCGGGTTGTCTTTCTTTTGTTCGAGTTGCAGGTTTGAAATCAGCGAGCTGTCCCAACAGCCTCTGCAAAACTGCTTGAGCAGCTGCTGGTCGGCGTCACTGGAGGAAATTCCATTCCTCTGAATAACTAGGTTTAACAAGGTGTATAACCTCTGAAAGTAATCGGAAGGTTTTTCACCACTGTCCTGGTTTGTGTTTAAGAAGCGAGCAAAGAGCTCGTCGCCGTCTTCGACAGCTGCGTAAGCTGAATCGAGATGTTCAAGGTACGTTTCCGGGTCGGATTTTGGACTAAGAGCTTTAACGATGCTCGCTGCTGGGGCTGACAGACTCTCCACGATTCTTCGTACAATTTGGGACTTGGTGAGTGAAGGATCATTTATGCATAACACTACACTACTACGCCAAGTATCATAGTCAGTTTCAAAAGAAGGGTGTGGAACTCGCCCTGAGAACGGTTTTAGTCTGTATTGTGAAGTAGGCGGAGGGATAACCTCACTGCTTTTAACAATGTGTTCCACAATAACTCGCTGAACCTCAGGTGTGTTTAAAAGATTTGGTGGAATGCAAGGGTTTTGTTTTCCAGTCTCTGTAGGTGGACAATTGTCCTTTGAGTTGTTCATATAGTTAACTTCTGGTGTTAAAGGCAGGGAATATGTAACTTGGTCACTATGGAGCATTGGCTCTGGTTCAGTGACTGGTTCAGATGCATGGGTATCCCTTCCTAAAGATTCCCCAATTTTTGCCAGTTCCTCCATTAGAAGGTCTTTAAATGATTGATTGCTACGCGCAGCTATGTCCCTGAGCTCTGACAGATAGGCATCAGTGGCAGATGTGCTAGTTTCTAGACTGTACGCGCTGGCTAGGTCTTGAATATGGAAGAAAACATCTGGGTTCCTAGTACAAGGTTTGTCATAGGGTAAACATTGTTTCTTTAATTCCTTAACAGTGGCTTCATGTTGAAACTCCACAATAATCTGATCACAGTTTGGTAACTTAATGCGCCTGTTAACTGGTCCGAATCCTTCCATAAACCCAAAGACTTCGTTATCAAGGTCTGTATCAGTTAACCCACTGATTAAAACAGCATTTGAAACTTTGACCTTTTCTGTTTTCACAACTTCCATTTTAAAACACTCAAAAGTACCAATAATGCCAAAATGGCAAACCACTGTGACCTCCAGGCACTCTTATGATGTCAGTCAATGGTTAGCTAAGGTAACAACTCTACAATTCTCCTGGCTGGCTCGCCAAGTTTTATGTAACCGGATTACAGGATACAATAAGATAATTAAAAGAAAAAATAAACAAATGGGCCAATAATTAGGTTCGGGGAGAATTGGAGGTTGTTTAAGAATGACTGGAGTCACGGGTATAGCATGAAACGGTTTATATACTAAATTTTAATAATAATGGGAAATATAACACATAAAGATAACACACAAAAACAGATGAAAACAATCGACAATAGTAAAATGGTCGGTATGAGATTTGATCATATGAGTCACAAGTCAGCCGGCGTCAAGTCAAATCCCCACGCTTGGGGTGAAAGTCAGAGTCCGGTGGTGCGATTTTTTCCTACCACACCGTTGAGATTGTTCACAGAAGAGAGCAGTCTGCTCTTCAGTTACTTGAGATGTCCTGGTTCGTTCAGTGGTTAAGGCTCGCCATCTCCCTCGTCAGGAAGAAATCCAGTTCTCGTTCCAAGTGAGTGATCATAGGAGTCGGGATCAAACCCAAGGAAAAAAAAAAACCCAGCCTGTAAACAACAGGACTGTTAGCAAGTTGGCATCGACCCTTCTCGTCACATCACAGCATAAAGTCTTACAGACTTAAACAAATGCTTCACTCTATTGGCATAGCCAATCATGTTTGGGTTCACAGTTCAACTAACATAACATCAATTTGATTGTCTATTAAAATAATTCTCAGTAGCTCTGGAAATATAATTACATATGACAACAATTGTTCAGCTCAATAGGCTCAGTTAGATTCTATTACTCTACACTATTCGACAAGAAATACATTCATGACAACAAGGATACATTTAGTTGTGTTTCTATACAGCATTGTGACACCTTGTATATCTGTAACACAATAAATAAATAAATAAATAAACAAACAAATAAATAAATAAATAAATAAAATTTTCTATAACAAAATTAAACAAAATATAAATTCTGGTCCTTTGGTCCACCTTTGTAAAATAATTCCTCCCTAATCAGTTAGCTTTTATTTATTTTTATTTATCTATTTTTTTTTATTATTAAATGTTTGGTTAAGGGACGCATTGCTAATTCTATGGCGTTAGCTATAACGCCCCTGAGGACCTTGTACATCTAGGCCGTACCACCGTTAACTGGCGGTTTGAGCCGTTAACTCCTGGGAATCCCATATGCCGTACCGCCGTTAACTGGCGGTTTGAGCCGTTAACTCCTATATGCCCTACCACCGTTAACTGGTAGTTTGAGATGTTAACTCCTGGGATCTAACGTCTAGCAGCCCACTGCTGTCACCTCGGTTGCTGTAATTAGCTTTTTGAATTTAATAATTTACTGAATTTAATCTCATTCACTCACCAACGCGCTCCAACGGTTCCCTCCTACAGAGGATTGGTTCACTCTGTCGTCTCCACACAAATCTATAAGAATGGAATTAATTTGATAAGCTATTTAAGTTTCCTTTTTTTTTTAAGTTGCATCGTTAGCTTTTTCTCTTCTTTTTTCTTTACTCACCGCGTTGGTTCCAAGTTCCTAGCTCTTATTAGAAGGAGTCAAGTCCGCCTCTCCCTCTATATATGCGGCACCCAAATCAGGGTTCTTCACGGCCTCGACCGTTGTTTTTTTTTCTCTCTCTCTCTCTCTCTAACCGCTCAGTCTTTGCTTTCTGTATCTGCGTGCTGCACAGCCGTTTGTCTCTCCTCTCGCTCAGCTGCGTCGCACGGTTTTATTTCGCGGAGGCGGGACTTATTTCTCTCAGCCAATGAAATTTCAGATTCCCACCTGGACCAATAGTATACAGCTTTCCTCTTCTGTTTCTGTTAGGGATGTTCAAGATTCTTGTTTTAACCGATGTTTAATATTAAACTCGTTATTTTAGTTATTCACCCTTCCAATAATTCATTATGAAATTATCTATTAGTTAATTAGATATCTATTAATTAGTATTGTTAATTTCTTTAATTTATATTTTATATTTTATCTAAATTGAGGATGGATCATATTAGTAAGCCAATTAGTTAATACCTCATTAAGGTTCTAGCTTCTGGGTTACACTTCCTGTCTCAATTCTGCAATTATTTGCACACTTGTGTACTACGCACTCGAACCCTACTGCGCACTTTCTCCAAGTGCATGTTGCTGAAAACCGCAGGGTGCAGTGCGAGTGTTGAGACTGGGCCTCTGCTGTGACTCTCCTATATTTAAAGGTGCGATCCATTTCTTGTCATCATCCTTGAGATGCCCCTATTAGAGTCCAGCTGTGTTTGATTATACCGATTGGACTTGATTAGAAAAGTACTAAACTTTTACATTTGTTGTCATTTACAACAGAAAATGCATCCTCCTCATAGTTGTGTGTTAGCCTGGCCTGCCAGACTCATCCTGTTTAATTCTACACAGAGAACTCTTCCCATAAGGCAGCATGGGGCTTTTAGCCACCATTACAATACTGAAGTTTTACAAATGTGATGAATTACTCGCTCATTCTCTTTCTCTCTCACACACGTACACACACACACACACATTTGTTTGTGTGGCCCTCCACTGACTTCCATTCATTTTAGTGACTCCACTAACCCTAACCTTAACCAACTGGATTCACACAAACATTTTTTCTACTAAATTCCCAAGATGTTCATCTTAAAAACTGTTGCAACTAGAAATGAAAATCAGGAATGGATTAACCAGACCGAAGAGCATTTTTCTAAAACATTTGTTAAAATCATATTTAAGACATGCAGCCTTAGCGAAGATGCAAAAGTAAAAACTTTCACTAATGATTTATTCATTGTGATAATGCACAATCCGGATTGTGTCCGAGATCATCCAGGTGGACAGCGAATTGTGAGTGCCAGTCTCTGTTGAATACTTCCTTTAGCTGGCTCTGCAGGGCGTCGGTTCTCCATGCAGGGTGAGCGTTGGACTGGGAAACCACCAGACTAACTCCAGCTGTGGTTACAAAGTAGTCCCCCGCCCAGTTAGAGGTACCTGAGTAGCAAAACAGCATAATCTGGTCAATAATTTACTACAATAAAATACACCTGCTGCTTTCTAAAAGAAAACAACAAACCCACCAATGTATGCAGTTTTATCAGTCACCATGTACTTATTATGGTTTATTCTGGTAAATGGAATATCAGACTGGTTTCCCACTGGGACAATGAAGAGTTTCTGAAAAAAAAAATGAAAAGATGACTTCTAAGTAAGCAGCTGGACTAAATCTGACAATGTGCCATCTTACTATATGGATGTGGATATGATGATGAGGGTAGTCCAATGAGGCCAGAGACTGAAGGAAAGGCAACATGGCTGGATTAGAGTCCCGCCCACAGCTGATGAGCATCCTGACCTTAACCTTCCTTTCAAACACAGCTGTCCTGATTGCATCGTCTATAAACGGCCAGTATCTGAATCAAAACCAAAGCTGGCATGTCAAAGAAAACGGTTCACAATAAAAGGAAAACTGATTTTAGGAAGCTCACTTTTGGGGCTTTTCGAAGAATATGGTGGGAAAATACTCCATGACGGCAACATCAACAAATTTCTGAGCCTCTGAGATTGAGGAGAGAATCGCCTCCAGGTCCTGGATCCTCGACTTAGGACAGAAGGATGGTGGAGAACCCTGAAAGGAAAGAACATTTAATTCACAGTTATCAGGGGCGGTTCTAGTAAGGGTCCAGGGTGGGCCCGTGCTTAGCTTAGCTTAGATGAGCAAGAAGAAAGATGGCAGCGTGTCTCCAAAAAGGTCAGTGGTTTATTTTCTGTTCTGTTTACCAACAGAAGTTTCATAGGTGATAACTTGTTCTAAAGGTTAAACAAATGGAAATGTGCGCCTCATTTCCACTAATGACTCTAACCCAAGGGGTGTTCTGAAAGCATAACACATAAAAATAGAATCAAAGCGTACATTTTGCGGCATGTAGTGAGGAAGCGTGCCCATCAACTACAACGGTGGCTAAATGATACGCTTTGCGGACGTTACGCGTCCGGTGGAAAGGCCTGGGGTCTCATTTATCAAACATCACGTAGAATCCTTACTAAAACCGTACTTAAGCTCAGCAACAAAAAAAAATGTACTTACACCAAGCAGGTTTGTGATCTATCAAACATGGAGTACGCAAAGCTGCACGCAATCTCCGCTTCATAAGTCAGACTAACGAGAAAGTTTCTCAGCTGCTTTCTAGTCACATCCCGCCCTCACCGCTCCCACTTACTGCCATAAATAGTCAATGCAAAGTGCCTTGTGGATCTCATGCATATACATAAACCGGCTGTTGCAGCGCTCCGCCAATGACATGGCGACCGTAGATCAAGGCAGATCAAGCAAGCGCAATTTCACAGAAGCAGAAATTGAGGTACTTGTGGGTGAGGTGGAGAAATGAAAGGAAGTGCTTTTGCAAAACAAATAAGAGAAAATCCACGGAGTGGCACAGCGTTGCTGAAGCCGTCAATGTTGTGAGTTCTTCAGAGAGATCTGTGTCCAATTGGGATTCGATCCCCAGACTCCCGAGCGAAAGTCACACATGCTAACCAGTCTGCCAAACAGAGATCTCCCCTGTTCAACTAGCCATGGTGCATGATCAATCGGGTCACAGTGACAGGACTAGGGTTGTCACGGTAACCGCTATAGCGGTAAACCCCGGTAAAAAAGTTGACAATAAAAATAACCGTCCAGTTTTTAAAAAACCAAATTATCTCGGTGGGTTTACCGTGGCCGCGGTTTCGGCGCGATGACCCTTACCAGCCACCGTCGCTTCAGCTGAAGTTCCCACGCACACGCACTTTTAGTTTGCAACGGCACCAAAACTTTGAAGCTGAAATAATGGCCGAAGGAGGAGACGGCAGCGCCCAGGACATCCATCAGCCCTCAAAGAAGACTAAATCGGAAGTATGGGCATATTTTGGATTTCTGAAAAATGCTGAGGGACAGTTAATAGAAGACGGCTATCCCGTTTGCAGAACGTGCAGGAAACAAGTGTCTGCAAAAGGCAGCAACACTTCGAATCTAATGGCACATCTGAGTGACCATCACCAACGTCTCTACAGCCAGTGCAAGGTAAGTTAACATTAGCATTTTAGCTTAAATGCATGACGTGAGGACTTTTGGTTGAGGGAGAATGCAACGAGTCACTATATACTGCAGCCGCAGCGTCCTCTGCCAGCATTTAAACCATGTCACGGACACCCTGTTGCTGGATGAAGCATCTTATTTGTTGATGATGAAGAGAAATATACAATTAGTTCCTTGTCATTGATTTGTTTACTTATTCAATGCCATTTATACTTGAACATTTGGATTTGATTACATAGTGTAGTAGTTATTTTAGTAATTTGTTTAAAGTGGCTATTTATTTTAAATACATAATTTTTTAAGGTTGACTTGTACAGCGCTCAAGTCAAGTGTGGACTGGAGTTTTAGATTTTCATTTTGATAATGAAGAAAACAAGTATATGAGAAAACAAGTGGTGTTTCTTTGATTTGTTTACATATTGTTTATGTTTTGAATGTTTGGATTTGTATAATTTAAACCTGCACTGACTACTGTAACATGTTCCAGAAAAAGAAGCTATTTGTTCCTTTACTTGTGAAAAGTTGCACTTTTGCTAAGGCTTTGTGTTATTTTAGGTTTAATAAACACTGTTAAACCTTTTCAAAACTATTTCAGTTTGTGTAGAACAGGACTATCAATGCTTTCTGAACATATGCAACACCGTTTAAAAAATACCGCCATAATACCGAAAACCGTGATAATTTTGGTCACAATAACCGTGAGGTTAAATTTTCATACCGTGACAACCCTAGACAGGACACACCGTGTCACAGACGCATGACATTCTGCATTCTGTATTCTGCGCTTCAGGCTGTGTATGTGTTTGTGTGTGTGTGTGTGTGTGTGTGTGTGTTCTGACCATACGTGTGTGTGTGTTCTGACCATACGTGTGTGTTCTGACCATACGTGTGTATTCTGTGTATTCTGCTAACCACTTAAACATTCTCCTTCTCCTGATAATAACTTTTTACTTTCCTTGACGTTGGACGTGTTACTGCTAGCTTACCCATTTAATTAGAGATCCACTAGGATAAATACAATAAAGTTGATCTCACCAAATAGAATATTTACTAGGACATCACAATAGAACTATAGACACATTATTGTGTGTGTGTGTGTGTGTGTGTGTGTGTGTGTGTGTGTGTGTGTGTGTGTGTGTGTGTGTGTGTGTGTGTGTGTGTGTGTGTGTGTGTGTGTGTGTGTGTGTGTTCGGTCTTCTCGATCCCCAGTGAGTCGTGGAGGATGGCTGCTTATACTGAGCCAGGATTCTCTGGAGGTTTCTTCTTGTTAAAAGGGAGTTTTCCTCTCCACTGTCGCTGCATGCTTGCTTAGTATGAGGATTGCTGTATAGTCACTGACACTCGTCAGTGACTTGATGCAATTTGCTGGGTTCCTTATATAGGAAACATTATTTCTGATTGGCTTAATGAACTGTGAATTGGAATGTTTAAGATGTGAAGTGCCTTGAGACGACTCTTGTCGTGATTTGGTGCTATATAAATAAACTTGAATTGAATTGAATTGAATTCTGACCATATATGTGTGTTCTGACCATACGTGCATGTGTGTGTGTTCTGACCATACGTGTGTGTGTGTGTTCTGACCATACGTGTGTGTTCTGACCATACGTGTGTGTGTGTGTGTGTGTGTGTTCTGACCATACGTGTGTGTGTGTGTTCTGACCATACGTGTGTGTGTGTGTGTGTGTGTGTGTGTTCTGACCATACGTGTGTGTTCTGACCATACGTGTGTGTGTGTGTGTGTGTTCTGACCATACGTGTGTGTTCTGACCATACGTGTGTGTGTGTGTGTGTTCTGACCATACGTGTGTGTTCTGACCATACGTGTGTGTTCTGACCATACGTGTGTGTTCTGACCATACGTGTGTGTGTTCTCACCATATGTGTGTGTGTATTCTTACCATATATGTGTGTTCTGACCATACGTGTGTGTGTATTCTTACCATATATGTGTGTTCTGACCATACGTGCATGTGTGTGTGTTCTGACCATACGTGTGTGTGTGTGTTCTGACCATACGTGTGTGTGTTCTCACCATACGTGTGTGTGTTCCGACCGTGCCTATGTGTGTGTTCTGACCATGTATTTGTGTATTCTGACCATGTGTGTGTGTGTGTGTGTGTGTGTGTGTTCACTAAGGCTGGACACTGAACAAAGGGGCTAGCCTCTCCAGAGAAGACCACAGCAACCTCCCTGAGCAGAACCCAGTGTCCATCACTGTGGCAGACACCCAGCAAAGAGCCTCAGGTCTGAAGAACTGGACAGCTCCAGGACCTGACATGATCCACCGAAGCCTGCTGGCTTAAGATGCTCACTGCACTCCATGAGTGTCTGGCAGCACAGATGAAGCAGCTGCTAAAGGATGGGACTCACCCTGAATGGCTAACTGACTTGGCTAATACCAAGGAGACGCCCTGTCCCCACTGCTGTTCTGCAGAGGTCAGATCCCCGTCTACCAGATAATCCACAAGAATGGCCATGGACAGCACCTCCTCTACATGGAAGACCTCGATCTCGTCATCCATATAGAAGCGGTCTAATCTTTAGGTGTTTGAATCGCACTTAGTCCGACCGCCTACCTGAGAGACCATGTTGTCATGGAGACCCTAACAGGGGCTAATCAACCTGACTACACAGCTTCCAGGAATATGGAGGTCCTCAAACCCTCCCACCACGATAAGGTGGCGATTCTGCGGGAGGGATGGTTTTTTTTTGGCTTTTTTTTGTGTCATTTTATTGTTTTTTGTTTGTTTTTTTTTTGTGTATTTTATATATATTTTTTTATTCTATTTCATTTTATTTGATAGAAAAACATTTTTACAAAATTATTTGTTGTTGTTCTTGCTTCTATTTCTTCTACTTGCTTGTGAAATCTAAACAGCTTCTTGGTTCTAAACAGCAAGTGGGCCTAAACTATATGTGTACATCCACTTTCTACTAGAGATTTCATTGTTTTTACTTCCTAAGTGAAAAAAAGTTCATTTTGTTCTTAAACACCCCCCTCTTGTTCATCCCTTCAGGTGTTTTCCAGATGTGACTGACGCTTTAGAGTTGCTTACTTGTGAGGATTCTGCATCTCTGCCAGAAACCAGAGAACTCAGAGTTTTGGCTCCTGTGACCGAGCTTCCACTTTTATTTATTCCTCAATTATTTTCTGCAGTCACTGATCATTTATCTTTAATCTCTAATCCTTTATTTTTCCTTTGATGATGCGAGGGTGGGTCGTACGAGACCCTAGAGGACGTGCTTGGAAGAGCTTCATCCACACTTGACTTCTCATATGAAGATTTTCCATCTTCGTCCTCACCTGAACTTATCTTTGAAACCAGAGATGATTCAATGTTACTTTCTTCTCTTCTCTTAGGTGTTTTACTTCTCTTAGCTAAATTCCACACCGTTTGAACTGTATTTTTATCTCATTTTAACCCACCGGCTAATTCTTCATCCGTGTCTGACTGATCTATGTTTGCATCATCAGGTTTGACAAACACATTTTAATCACTTTCCTCTGCAGGCTGAAGGTCTTTCATCCTCGTCCTCACTCAGTTCCTCTTCTGAGCTGAAGGACAAGCTAGAAGGAGCCACGTCCTCTCAGAACATATTTTGTTAACCAAACTCCAACAATAGTCTGGTTTCCGTTTCATCTAGCTTCTTTAGTGCAGCCCTCAAATCTATAGGGTCATCGTCTTCTGAGTACTGTTGATATAAAGTGGCGTTACCCTGTGGAAACAGCAACTTTCCATTTTAGAGCATTTTGAAATCGTTAAAGTTTGGTCGTATATGGACAATTTTAAAAGGCCTTTATTTTGAAACGCAACATCAGAAAGTTTTGATATTCATATAGTATCACTGTGGGGTTGTATAATGTTTATATAAAGTGGAGTTACCCTGTGGAAACAGCAACTTTCCATTTTAGAGCATTTTGAAATCGTTAAAGTTTGGTCGTATATCGACAATTTTAAAAGGCCTTTATTTTGAAACGCAACATCAGAAAGTTTTGATATTCATATAGTATCACTGTGGGGTTGTATAATGTTTATATAAAGTGGAGTTACCCTGTGGAAACAGCAACTTTCCATTTTAGAGCATTTTGAAATGTTAAAGGTAGGTCAATTATGGACAATTTTAAAAGGCCTTTATTTTGAAACGCAACATCAGAATGACTTGATATTGATACAGTATCACTGTGGGGTTGTGTACTGTTGATATAAAGTGGAGTTACCCTGTGGAAACAGCAACTTTCCATTTTAGAGCATTTTGAAATGTTAAAGGTAGGTCAATTATGGACAATTTTAAAAGGCCTTTATTTTGAAACGCAACATCAGAATGACTTGATATTGATACAGTATCACTGTGGGGTTGTGTACTGTTGATATAAAGTGGAGTTACCCTGTGGAAACAGCAACTTTCCATTTTAGAGAATTTTGAAATCGTTAAAGTTTGGTCGTATATCGACAATTTTAAAAGGCCTTTATTTTGAAACGCAACATCAGAAGGTTTTGATATTCATATAGTATCACTGTGGGGTTGTGTACTGTTGATATAAAGTGGAAGTACCCTGTGGAAACAGCAAGTTTCCATTTTAGAGCATTTTGAAATCGTTAAAAGTTTGGTCGTATATCGACAATTTTAAAAGGCCTTTATTTTGAAATGCAACATCAGAAAGTTTTGATATTCATCTAGTATCACTGTGGGGTTGTGTACTGTTGATATAAAGTGGAGTTACCCTGTGCAAACAGCAACTTTCCATTTTAGAGCATTTTGAAATCGTTAAAGTTTGGTCGTATATGGACAACTTTAAAAGGCCTTTATTTTGAAACGCAACATCAGAATGACATGATATTGATACAGTATCACTGTGGGGTTGTGTACTGTTGATATAAAGTGGAGTTACCCTGTGGAAACAGCAACTTTCCATTTTAGAGCATTTTGAAATTGTTAGTTTGGTCGTATATCGACAATTTTAAAAGGCCTTTATTTTTGAAACACAACATCAGAATGACTTGATATTGATAAAGTATCACTGTGGGATTGTGTACTGTAGATATAAAGTGGAGTTACCCTGTGGAAACACCAACTTTCCATTTTAGAGCATTTTGAAATCCTTAAAGTAGGTCAATTATGGACAATTTTAAAAGGCGTTTATTTTGAAACGCAACATCAGAATGTTTTGATATTCATATGGTATCACGGTGGGGTTGTGTACTGTTGATATAAAGTGGAGTTACCCTGTGGAAACAGCAACTTTCCATTTTAGAGCATTTTGAAATCGTTATAATTTGGTCGTATATGGACAATTTTAAAAGGCCTTTATTTTGAAACGCAACATCAGAATGACATGATATTGATTAAGTATCACTGTGGGGTTGTGTACTGTTGATATAAAGTGGAGTTACCCTGTGGAAACAGCAACTTTCCATTTTAGAGCATTTTGAAATCGTTATAATTTGGTCGTATATGGACAATTTTAAAAGGCCTTTATTTTGAAACGCAACATCAGAATGACATGATATTGATTAAGTATCACTGTGGGGTTGTGTACTGTTGATATAAAGTGGAGTTACCCTGTGGAAACAGCAACTTTCCATTTTAGAGCATTTTTTAATCCTTAAAGGTAGGTCAATTATGGACAATTTTAAAAGGCCTTTATTTTGAAACGCAACATCAGAATGACTTGATATTGATTAAGTATCACTGTGGGGTTGTGTACTGTTGATATAAAGTGGAGTTACCCTGTGGAAACAGCAACTTTCCATTTTAGAGCATTTTGAAATCCTTAAAGGTAGGTCAATTATGGACAATTTTAAAAGGCCTTTATTTTGAAACGCAACATCAGAATGACTTGATATTGATTAAGTATCACTGTGGGGTTGTGTACTGTTGATATAAAGTGGAGTTACCCTGTGGAAACAGCAATTTTCCATTTTAGAGCTTTTTGAAATCGTTAAAAGAGTCGGTCAAATATGGGCAATTTCAATTTGCTGTGGTTTGACAGTGTTGATACAAAATGCAACTGCTCTTTGGAAATATGACTTCTGCTTTTAAGAGCATTCTGAAGTCATTGAAAGAGTAGTTCAAAAATGAAAATTCACAGGGCTTTTACTTTGAAATCCCAAATAAGATTTCCTTGATATTGACAGGGCGCTAATAGTGAACAAGCCTAAATTATTTGTTTTTATGTTCTTAAAATATCTGATAATTCACTCGAAGTTGAATTGTATTTTGAAATCCGGTTTCCACATCCATTCCAGTAATAACTTGAATAGACGGGGAACAGAAAACAAACTGGAGGCTGGCTTGACTGCAAGTCTCCAACTGGAGGCTGGTTTGACACTAGTCCCAGTCCGGACGCGCCGGACAGAGAGTGAAAAGTGGACACGGTCCATCTCCTTTACTTTTTGTATTGTTTTCTCTCTGTAAACATGCTGTTAACTTGCTTTGCACATCTTCTAATTGAAATCTGTCTTTATCATATATATATATTATTTTTTCATAAGCTTGCGTTTGGTGCCCCTCTCCGGCGTGGTGCCCTACGCGCTATGCGTGGTGTGCGTGTGCGGAGCGCCGGCGCTGCAGACATGTAACCACAATCTTCTGAAGAGACATCAGCCATGTAACCGCAATCTTCTGCAGAGTCATTAGCCATGTAACCGCAATCTTCTGAAGAGACATCACCCATGTGACCGCAATCTTCTGCAGGGACACCAGACATGTAACCACAATCTTCTGCAGAGTCATCAGCCATGTAACCCCAATCTTCTGCAGGGACATCAGACATGTAAACGCAATCTTCTGAAGAGACATCAGCCATGTAACCGCAATCGTCTGCAGAGTCATCAGACATGTAACCCCAATCTTCTGCAGGGACGTCAGACATGTAACCGCAATCTTCTGAAGAGACGTCAGCCATGTAAAGACATGCTGATTTTCCGGGTCCAAGACGATTAAAATCAGACTCCGGTTGTTCTGAAGAGGATAAATCCTCTTTTTCTGCATCTCCATAAAAGTATTTATAAAAGTATTTATAAGCGTTTATAACCGCTTTAGTAATCAAAGCACCTGCTACCAACCCAGTAACGGCAAACATGGCCGTACGAGGTGAAAAGAGATTCCCAAATCCATGCATCGTTCTAGCTAGGCTTAGCTCGACTGACTGACGGTGTGGGTTCTAGCACGCTATTTATGCTAGCAAGATGACGTCACAGAGGGACGTGATCACGTGATCAAAGCGTAGAGAGGATCAAAGGGTTGAGAGGAGCACGCAGACTAGCCAGCAAGCTAAAGAAGCTGCGTCACGTGCGTCTTCAGCGATTCGTGAGATCAGGTGACTCAATTTCCTTTACAAACTTCAAGGAATCACGTGTTCATCTGTTTCATGTTTTTTTTTTACCCTAATCAACGGAATGACTGTGGTTCCATGTACACATTACATTATTACCTTGTAGATTATTAGAATAAACTAAATTAATTTCGCTTTTTTAATTAGATCTTATAACTTCCTCGTGAGCATAAAGCGGGTGTAAAAATGAAAGTGGGTTGTTTAGGTTAATAAAATGTGTATTTGTTTATTCAACATAAGCAGGTATGAAAATGTCAGTTATTGTTTTTAATTATTCGGATTTTCCCCGCAGGATCACGACCGTTAACAAGTCCCTTTGTCAGACATTTATTTACTGAACTGTTACATGTAGAGTTTACTACTGATAACCTCAAAGAGGCCCGGAGTGGCTAATTGGGGTCTGGACCGCAAGGCCCGGTGTTGTTTTTGTTTGTTTTGGACCGGTGCTCAGTCATCACGCCACTGGGCTGATCCCTAAGACAACCTACCTGCTGAAAGGGCCTCTCATGTCAGGTACAAAAACAAAAACGTAATGTTTACTACTCGTACGTTTTTGTCTTCTTCTCTTTTTGTGATGGGGTTAGGGTTCAGTCATGGCTTGGATCAGATGCCGCTACCGCGCTGTCCCCGGGCCGCCTCTGCCTTTTTTCTGCAGACGCTTCCAGACGGAACACCTCAGGAGACTCCGGGTGGGAGAAGCAGGACTCAGGAGGAACACTCTAGAAACAGACGCCACTAAATGTGCAAAGACGGGAATTTTTCACTGAAACGTGCTGTTTCCGGAGTCAGCAGCAAGACCCAGCAGCATCAGCAGGTAGGATGACTCACTGAGGGAATATCATGAGAATGAATAATGGAGAGTATGGCGAAGACCTGCTCTATTAAAGCGGTCCGGATGCTGGCTCTGTCCGGTTTGGTCCGGACGGTAAAGCCAGGGGTGCAGACTCTCCCAGATCCACGGTGCAATTCAACCTGACATCAGTTATCTTTATTTTCATTTACATGAATGATCATGAGGAATCATCTGGACAAATGGGAAAGAAAAAGATATAGAGAAGGAAAATGGAAAATGTAGGAGAAAATGAGGATGAACTTCTTTAGTAAATGTTCACTGATGAGTTTTCATGTTTGTGAAATTACAAGTGAGGTCACACACAAGTTGTGTTTTCATAAAACAGTGTTTTCATCTGAAAATAAGTCAGGGTTTTATTTTAACTTCTCAGAGTTGCAGCTGGATGCTCTTCTTCTGTGGCTCTAACAGGCTGTCAGACATTTGAGATTATTTTCTAGTTATTGAATTAAATAATAATTATATGATGAATATTTTCTAAATCAAAGTTTTAATAAGTTATTAAATCAGACACATCAACAGGTGGTCATATAATAATCAGACTGTTGCCGGTCAGTCATTGTTACCCAAAGCTCTTCTGTGTGTAACATTAGGTGTGCAAGTGCGAAGGGTGTCCCGATTCTCAAGTGCGGAAGTTGACCATGCCTCCTCTGCACCCTTAATTTGCACCACTTCACCCAAGTCCGCAGCGATGCGGACCTCGGGCAAGGGTATTACCCACAAGTCATTGTTGCGGGAGAAAAGGCCCACGTTCCTTTTCTGAAAATGTGTATTTTCTAATGAAATCAATTAATTTTAGGACGATTAGTTGATACTCTACAGGGTGCAGTGCGAGTGTTGAGACTGGGCCTCTGCTGTGACTCTCCTATATTTAAAGGTGCGATCCATTTCTTGTCATCATCCTTGAGATGCCCCTATTAGAGTCCAGCTGTGTTTGATTATACCGATTGGACTTGATTAGAAAAGTACTAAACTTTTACATTTGTTGTCATTTACAACAGAAAATGCATCCTCCTCATAGTTGTGTGTTAGCCTGGCCTGCCAGACTCATCCTGTTTAATTCTACACAGAGAACTCTTCCCATAAGGCAGCATGGGGCTTTTAGCCACCATTACAATACTGAAGTTTTACAAATGTGATGAATTACTCGCTCATTCTCTCTCTCTCTCACACACGTACACACACACACACACATTTGTTTGTGTGGCCCTCCACTGACTTCCATTCATTTTAGTGACTCCACTAACCCTAACCTTAACCAACTGGATTCACACAAACATTTTTTCTACTAAATTCCCAAGATGTTCATCTTAAAAACTGTTGGAACTAGAAATGAAAATCAGGAATGGATTAACTAGACCGAAGAGCATTTTTCTAAAACATTTGTTAAAATCATATTTAAGACATGCAGCCTTAGCGAAGATGCAAAAGTAAAAACTTTCACTAATGATTTATTCATTGTGATAATGCACAATCCGGATTGTGTCCGAGATCATCCAGGTGGACGGCGAATTGTGAGTGCCAGTCTCTGTTGAATACTTCCTTTAGCTGGCTCTGCAAGGCGTCGGTGCTCCATGCAGGGTGAGCGTTGGACTGGGAAACCACCAGACTAACTCCAGCTGTGGTTACAAAGTAGTCCCCCGCCCAGTTAGAGGTACCTGAGTAGCAAAACAGCATCATCTGGTCAATAATTTACTACAATAAAATACACCTGCTGCTTTCTAAAAGAAAACAACAAACCCACCAATGTATGCAGTTTTATCAGTCACCATGTACTTATTATGGTTTATTCTGGTAAATGGAATATCAGACTGGTTTCCCACTGGGACAATGAAGAGTTTCTGAAAAAAAAAAAGAAAAGATGATTTCTAAGTAAGCAGCTGGACTAAATCTGACAATGTGCCATCTTACTATATGGATGTGGATATGATGATGAGGGTAGTCCAATGAGGCCAGAGACTGAAGGAAAGGCAACATGGCTGGATTAGAGTCCCGCCCACAGCTGATGAGCATCCTGACCTTAACCTTCCTTTCAAACACAGCTGTCCTGATTGCATCGTCTATAAACGGCCAGTATCTGAATCAAAACCAAAGCTGGCATGTCAAAGAAAACGGTTCACAATAAAAGGAAAACTGATTTTAGGAAGCTCACTTTTGGGGCTTTTCGAAGAATATGGTGGGAAAATACTCCATGACGGCAACATCAACAAATTTCTGAGCCTCTGAGATTGAGGAGAGAATCGCCTCCAGGTCCTGGGTCCTCGACTTAGGACAGAAGGATGGTGGAGAACCCTGAAAGGAAAGAACATTTAATTCACAGTTATCAGGGGCGGTTCTAGTAAGGGTCCAGGGTGGGCCCGTGCTTAGCTTAGCTTAGATGAGCAAGAAGAAAGATGGCAGCGTGTCTCCAAAAAGGTCAGTGGTTTATTTTCTGTTCTGTTTACCAACAGAAGTTTCATAGGTGATAACTTGTTCTAAAGGTTAAACAACTGGAAATGTGCGCCTCATTTCCACTAATGACTCTAACCCAAGGTGTGTTCTGAAAGCATAGCACATAAAAATAGAATCAAAGCGGCATGTAGTGAGGAAGCGTGCCCATCAACTACAACGGTGGCTAAATGATACGCTTTGCGGACGTTACGCGTCCGGTGGAAAGGCCTGGGGTCTCATTTATCAAACATCACGTAGAATCCTTACTAAAACCGTACTTAAGCTCAGCACAAAAAATAAAAAGTACTTACGCCAAGTAGGTTTGTTATCTATCAAACATGGAGTTCGCACAGCTGCACGCAATCTCCGCTTCATAAATCGGAGACTAACGAGAAAGTTTCTCAGCTGCTTTTTAGTCACATCCCGCCCTCACCGCTCCCACTTACTGCCATAAATAGTCAATACAAAGTGCCTTGTGGATCTCATGCATATACATAAACCGGCTGTTGCAGCGCTCCGCCAATGACATGGCGACCGTAGATCAAGGCAGATCAAGGAAGCACAATTTCACAGAAGTAGAAATTGAGGTACTTGTGGGTGAGGTGGAGAAATGAAAGGAAGTGCTTTTGCAAAACAAATAAGAGAAAATCCACGGAGTGGCACAGCGTTGCTGAAGCCGTCAATGTTGTGAGTTCTTCAGAGAGATCTGTGGCGGATATAAAAACGTGGTCCAATCGGGATTCGATCCCCAGACTCCCGGGTAGGGTTGTCACGATACTAAAATTTCAAACTCGATTCGATACTGGGAAAAAAAACTCGATACTCGATTTCGATACTATTTAAAAACACCAATTTACTGAACAAGTTTATTCGAAAAATAACATTCCTCAATTTATATTGCAAAAATTAAATGTTAAGAATTAAGTGTATTAAGTGCTTAAACCTTTCAAGTATCAGCATTTTTTCAAACGTGCATACAAAAACTGGCGAAAGTTAACACTTTAAATCATGAATTGTCTCACTATAAATACACTATTTGCAGAGTGATGTTTTGCTGCTTAAACTCTGTTTAAGGTGCATTTTTGTCATAAGATGTAATGCCATATGTTTTGTTCTGTACTTTTGAACAACTCTGTTGGTCAATAAAGGGAGAAAACGAATTTCTCCACAGTAGGACAAAGGTACATCTACCGGTAATCTTAATAAAAACAGACTGGCGCACGGCAGTGACGTCATTAAAAGCGCCGGTTAGATTAGCCGCGGCTAGTCTGTTCACGCCTAGAAATCCCAGACCCGCTCCAAACGACCAGGGGGATCAAGTTAATCATTCCTAACAAAACCTTTCAACATGAAGATGTTTTGGTGCAGATAATGTCTTATTTCGAGGCTGCACCATGGGTGCCCGTCCGCACCCGTTATATGGATATACACTGATGGCGATTCGCCGATGGATCTACGGTAAATACCCCGGGGAATCCAAGTAGCACCAAAGTTGTCAGCGTGAGTAAACAAACGTACTGCATGCTAGAAATTAAGTCTGGGTTGCAATAAATGGGAGTTTTCCTTTAAGCACATAAGCGTGAATACACAACTACGTGTCGGACTTGGTATGCTAATTAAGTTGGGCTGTGAAGCGCCTCCCAAATTCACTGTTTATGTTTTTGTTTATTTATTTGGCAGACAAAACTTGGATTGGAGACAACTCGCGTGGGAAATTGCAATGTAGCCATGCGGTGTCTTCTTCTTCTGTTTGTCTGGGAGGCGGAGGCTGCTTTACGGCATCTGGCTGTCGTGCGTGTCGGTGTACTTGAAGAAGGCTGTGTATAATAGTCCATAATATCGATACCACAGGGATGGAATATCTAATTTAGATACCACTTTTAGCATCGATTTTTTTGACAACACTACTCCCGGGTGAAAGTCACACACGCTAACCAGCCAGCCAAACGGATATCTCCCCTGTACAAGTAGCCAGGGCGGATGATCAATCGGGTCACAGTGACAGGATACACACCCTGTCACAGACGCATGACATTCTGTCTCAATCTGTACCCCTGCTGATATTCTGCATTCCGTATTCTGCGCTTCAGGCTGTGTGTGTGTGTGTGTGCACGCGCATGTGTGTGTGCACATGTGTGTGTGTGTGGGGGGGTCTTGTTCTGTGAGAAAACGAAGCGGTACAAGTGATAATGCTGCAGGATTTCATAATTGAATCTTCTCAGCAGCAGCAGCACTGCAGGTGCTCTCCATGTCCAACATGTGCATAAGCCAGGTCCCTTAGTCAGCTTAAAGTTGCGCACATTTTTCCACTAAGTTTTCTTTCATAAATCCCAAAGTTTGCGTGGAAAGTTGCTTACGCAGTTTTCTGACCCCGTTTTGTGCGTAAGCAAGCTTGATAAATGAGGCCCCTGGTAATGCAAGATCTGGAACAAAAGCATGTGAATGATCTCTGATTGAAAACAGACACTTAAATATTATCATTACGCAACATAAAAAACACAAATGTTTTGCTAAATAACTATTTAGAAACTCACTGAAAAGTAACTGCAACTGAAAACTTTTTGAAATACTTAAAGGCGTGTTTGGAGCTTTTTATTTCAAACTTGCCTCTTTAACAGTGCAGCTAGCCCCAGCCTGGGCCCAGGCCCCCTCTAATGTTAGTCTAGAACGGGGGTCGGCAACCTGCGGCTCTGGAGCCGCATGCGGCTCTCTGTGCTTGTAAAATAATGAATAAAATGCTTTATATCTTACTGCATTAATTTTACATCTGTATGCCAATTCTAAATGTAAAGATTGTCTGCGTAAAGCCGGGCGTACACTGTGCGACTTTTTCACTCGTAGCACTCAGCTTCAGCTCAAACTGTACGACTTCCTCGCAGAGCAGATCTCACGAGCCAGGCGCTCACACTGTACGTCTGGTAGCAACACGTCAGCCCTAAAAATGTCCTAAAAATAGCAGTTTTTACACAACACGTCAGACTTTTTTGTCTTGTCTTGCCTGTTGTCCTTCGGGAGTGCTGCAGGGGGACACACAGCGACTTATGGGGGTTGGATGAGGAAAACGAAATAAAGAAAGTAAATCTGTGTTTTGTGATCAGTTTAATTTGACATGAACACTACATGCACGCTTTCTTGACAATCTTTGTGAGTAAAAAACGTGTAGAAATTAAAACGAACAACGTGTGTTATTAGGGAAATGGCGGGGAGCGGTGTTGATGCAGGATTGCGCATGCGCCGTGAGCGGTTCTGGTATTTTTTGGGTCGCAGCTGCTCACAGCGCCGCTTCAACAGTGCGATACCCTCACGAGGGACGAGCGAAATATTAAACACGCCAGAAGTCCGTGCGACCTCACGACTGCTGATCGGCAGCTGGTCACGTGGTGTTAATCGCCTCTCGTAACCCCCTGTACACTACACGACCACTCGGCGCAAAACTCGCCCCGATGTCGTGGATTCTCGCACGACTGGAAAATCGGCTCAAAAAAGTGAAAAAAGTTGCACAGTGTACGCCCGGCTTAAATCTGAACAGTTCCAACCCAGTCTTACTGTAAGACCGGGTTGACGGGTCACGCTTGTGCGTAGTCATAGGCGCTTTCTGAGCTGACGAGGATGTGAGATTCTGGGATTCTCCTCACACAGGCTCCTGGATGTGTCGCCACACTGGAGACAGGAACAAGCGCTATTCAGCCAAAGTTTCATAATCAAGGAACATTTTCTAAGTGACGAGTCTCGCTTCAGTTGGAGGAATCTTCCCGCATGCGCTCTGGTTCTGCGACGCGCTCCAAGCCCCTCTCCACATCTTCAGCTCGCTGTGCGCCGTACGTACACGCTGACAGCGAGCTGCGCTGAGCAGTGTCCAGCTCAGATGTTCAGATGGAAATCTTTTCTTGAGTGATTTAGCTACATCTGCGATGTGAGTAGAATAAAATGTCAGTTCGTCTGCATGCGTCGGGGTCATTCTTTCTATTCTTTCTCCGTCAAAATAAACGGTCAAATACGGGAACTGTCCGGTCAACACAAGCCCTGCTTTTAACTGTTCTGTTTTCTTGTGAAAATTGTTGCAAAGAGATATAATTTAACTTGATTACCACCAGAGCCAGGTGCACTGCACCGTTATCTCCGTGACTGTAAATGAGGGAAAAACAAATGGATCGGATCCTTTTCTGACCTTCCCCACCTACAAAGTTTAATTACAGCAATCAAACGTGACAGAGCCTGGATTTGTATTCTGAACAGTCTAAACATGTTTTAAAAAGAAACGTATGACAAAAGAGGCACCTGCTCAGTAAAACCACCAACAGGGTGAAAAATATAAAAATATTGTAGGCAGAGACGGGCTACAACTTCTGGATCCATTTTATATAAATCGCTTTATTGGTTATCGTTCTATGAAAGATAACTTTGACGTACACGAGCGACCGGTACTGGCTGCTGTCACCTGTTGTGATTGGTTAAAGCAGCTCTCTGCTGTCTGAGGGTAGGCCCCGCCCACAACGCCGCGGCTGCTGTGGCTCCCAGCGTTTTCTTTACTGTGGGAAACGGGTAATAATGGCTCTTTGATGGGAACAGGTTGCCGACCCCTGGTCTAGAACCTCCCGAGTGTGACTAAAAACCACAAACACACCACTTCCGGGTCAATTATTTCCTGTAACAACCACTTTTATTTATGGAAGCTTAAAAAAAAGATGGAAACTCACAGCTATGTAGAGGCTGCTGGTGCTATTCTCCTCCTTCACCTGCAGGGGGTGGTGTTTGTTGATGTTGGTGTCATACTTTGCTGGCCAAGGTTGTGGAAGGGAGCTGTTTGATTGTCCCATCTCCCAGTAGGACTGGAAGACTTTGTGAAGGTCTGACGCTAAACTGGAACAGTTGTAGACCACCACTCCCAGTTCCTTCACCTGCATTACAAAGATGATTATTTAAAAAATATTGGTAACGCTTCCTTTTACAGTCCCTTAATTACCAACATAGTAAGTTAGTTTCTGAGTTCTTAAACAGTTATTACCATGTAAGAGGTTCAATTCTAGTTTTCATTTTACTAATCATTCCCAGTAAATACTGCTTTACACAATAATAACACTTTTTTACAATTATACACTTTAATCACACAATAATACACTTAACTTACCATGTAATTACCATGTAAGTACTTAGTAATTAGGGGACTGTTAAAGGAAGTGTTACCAAACTATTTTACAATAAGGAAGTTTGTTATAACTGTAAGTGGTTTTACTTGGGTCAAAGCCCTCCAGTCCATGTTGGCACTGCCAATGAACACATGCTTCCTGTCAACAATCCAGAACTTGCTGTGGAGGACACCTTCAGTCAAGCGACCAAAGTTCACTTTCCTCACTTTAACTCCTGCAAAAAAAAAATTTAAAAAAATTAGGGCTGAACAATAGATCGCAACTATATCGTTATCGCGATATCGGCATGCGCAATATGCATATCGCAAAGAACAGATAAATATCATAATGAATGGTCAGCTCAAATGTTTGCTACACATAATGCATTCTGTCAATCAAACGGAAGCACGATGTTTCTTTAACAAATCAAACAGAGCTCTTCACCCATTTGGCCAATTGGGTGTGTTTTCATAGGTTAGACGCCCGCCCCCGAGGCGGACGGCACTTCATTTTGAGGGTCGGCAAACACCTGAGTTAGCTTTGTTCTACTGATTCAGCTTTTCCCGGGATCCACTGATCGCCTTTTCTTTTTCTCTTTCCTCGCATCTTTTGCTTTTCTCATTTTTTATTATTTTTTTATGTCGTTTATAATTTTTTTGTTTTTGATTATTTTTATTCCTGAGTTAAGTTTTAATTTATCGCAAGTAATATCGTTATCGCAATATTAATCACTGTTATCGCATATCGCAGGTCTTCCTAATATCATGCAGCCCTAATAATTATAAACTGTAAGTAAATACAACAAATCACATCGCATTAACAGCTGAGCAGGTAGTGTTTCACCTTTTTGTATCAAGATCTTCAAATCGGTGGAGTTTGTTTTGACCGTGGGAACGCTGGACACTACTCGGACCGACACATTCCTGGAGGGTAGCTCCTGGATTTCTTTGAAGATGTCTCTTCCCTGCAGAGAATTAAAAACGGCACAGCTGCAGTTTTCTCCTTATAAAGCGTTAAGTTGTACGTTTGGCTGATGACTCACTGGAATGTCAGAGGAAGAATTCACGTTGATGTCCTCTCCTGTTAATGTCCAATAAAAGGAAGCCACCTCCACCCTGCTCGTTGCTATGAAGAGAAGATGCTTCCAGACCTGCTCCAGTGGGATCCCAAATGTTTCATTGTCTTTGTATTTAATATGTAGAGGAATGCTCTCTACAAGTGCCATACTATGGGATAAAGCAGGGAAAAGACAACAGTCTAACTCTTTAGAAGTAGTGATGATGTTTCTGTGGGAATATTACCTGCACTGGTCAGTGAAGGTGCTTCCTTCTGCTTCTCCTGGAAGAGTTTCATGATCTTTTGGAGGTGGAGGTCTCTCCAGCACTGCGATGGCAAGGATAACTCCCAGGACAGTCAGGCAGCCCAACGCCACAGCTAACGTCATCCAGCTGGTCCTCCTCTAACAGTTGGTGCAAAAATACTTTCATCATTAAAATGCACGATTTGAAGTTTGGGACCTCCTCGTTGTCGTCCTACCTCTTTGTTTGAGACGTAGTGTTCATGAAGGCTTCTGCAAGTCGAGGTCATCCTTCACTTTTCACCCACTTACTCCCTTTAAAAATAATAAATAAATAAAAGCAAAAAATCTGCAAGTTTGAGCTTTTCAAAGTTTGTTTTAGAAGAATAAAAAATACTCACAGATAAGAGATCAAACTTCTGTCTTGCTTCTTCCTCTTCAGCTTTAGGCTGAAATGATATCTGCTGGTTATTTTGTCGCTGCTCAGTTCCCCTTTTTACTTTCATTTCAGCTGTAGAGAAAAGAGTTTTCACAGGAAACCTAAACTCTGGTTTAACTTATGGTACAAGAGACAAAAAGGCAGGTTTGGCTGATCAAATTTATTTGAAAAAAAAAATCATCTCGTCATTTACACACGCGATGAATTAAAAACAAACCAGTAAATCATCTGGGATGGAGACAGGAGGAAGAAACTGAACATATAAAAAACTCACTTTCTCTGATTGAAACTCTTGGAAACAGCATCAGGAAACATTTTCCCATTAGGAGCAGCAGCATGTTTGGAAAAACAGGCTAACATTCATTTTGTAAACAAATATTTTAACACACACGCACACACACACCTTAATGGCACTTTTAGGTTCTTCTCGTTACCATTAAACACACAAAACCACCTGGCTGATTTCCCTTTCCGCCTCGACTTTACCTCCATAGAATTATTACAATTTTTACTGGGAGGAAGAAAAACCTTCACCAGGACGATGGGAAAACGTCGTACATTAGTGCAACACTGAGAGGTAATATGCAGGAGATATAGATCATTTATGATATTTACATCATTAAAATATTTACTAATATAAATGTACAAATTCGATTCTCTCCACAAAAGTGAACATGTGACTCCTCACACACTCCTTTATAGCATCTAGTGTGCAGATGATAGAAAAACACACATCTAAATACTTTACATGTTTATAATTGCCCAAACTTTTAAGCTTCTGCTTTGATTATTTTTGACACACACACAAAAAAATCAAATAAAAATCAGGAATGCTTAAAAACATCTCCCATCCACTTGCTGAGCGTCTCCTCCCATTCAGATGACACATTCCTGAAGGATCTCCACTCCCGCCTGGACCAAACCGCATCCCTCCCCCGTGGAAGGGAGCGTAACCGGGACAAACATCTAATTAGCTTCTAGTGATATAACATTCACTGGTTTGGCACTGGAGCTTTAAAAAGTCTCCTCTGAAATTCCTGTTTACAAAAGATTGCTACTGGTTTTCCACACACTTCTATAAATCTGGTGTGCAGAAAAGTGGCACAAACCTGGGAGACGGAGAGGAAGTGGGATTGGCGAGGAGACGAGTACACAAAAGATGTCAAAGCTTTTACCCCAAAGTTCAAATTTGACACTAAATACATTTCGAAAGTTTGATCTTCCTGAGATGATTTCACTGTTTCTCAATCAACTGTATCATTATTACAAATGTGTTAAAATTATATAAACTGGTTAAATTAGTGGCAAACAGCAAGAACAATCACAATCAAGTACAAGTTTTTGTCCTGTGAAGGTGAGATCTACTGAAATGTCAAGGCACTTCCTTAAATCATCCCCCTCATTGTGCTTTAGGTGCTTCCCACAGCACCAGAGTGTGTAGTGTCTACGGTATAGTGATTGTTTTCAAGCACGAGGCTAATAATTCACGTTTCACTTCCCCGATCCCGTTTCACTTGTGAAACTAGCACCTGCTGTCATAGCACCTGCTATGTGGAGACGTCTCAGACTAAATATCCCTCTCTAAGGTCGTCGGGGGTCACGGCAGCTCTTCTGACGCTCTCACTGGGTCTCGGACCACCGCCACGTTTGAAGACAGAGTGGACCGTCCTCCAGTCTCGAGGTGGAGTCCTGGAGAAGCGAGCGTCAGATGAGGAGGAGGAGACAGCGGGTGCTGAGGTCTTTGCAGCTTCTGGCGTGTCACTGGGTCCCATGACCGCATTAATGACTGAAATGGAAAAAAAAACAACACAGCAGATTAGGTCAGCAAAGTCAAAAAGATCTGATTTGATCTAAATCATGTTAAATTGACTCACCCTCAAGTTGCATTTTAATGCCTCTGAGCTCTTTTAAGATGGACACAATTTCCTGAAACAAACATGTCTGATTGAGCTCAAACACACACATGAGCTTCAAAAACACACACACACACACACGCACACACACCTTGTTGGAAGATTTGCCAACAGTATCATCAACATCGGAGTTCATCCTTGCTTCGGTATCTTCCCAAACATCCATCCTGTCCTGGAACAACATCCTGAATAATGCAGCACATGCTTGTTAATAACTTAAACATTAATACTGATTATTATTCTAATCCAGATTAAACAAGTGTTTTCATTCCTACTTGATCTTGTCAGCCAGTTGCTGTGTGCTTTCTCTGATACCCGCTGTGACCTCATACACCGGACTCAGCATCAAACTACCAACTGTGACCTGCAGCAAATTAAAAGAGACTCATTCTCCATATCAGAATATTCTGAACAAAGACGCACGGCGGCTGTCTGTCGGACCTCATCTCTGGTATGAGCTAACTTCCTGGAGTTCTGTTCAGGCTCCTTCTTTGGTTGGACTTGTTCTGATCCAGACTCTGGGATTTGTGGAACCTGCTGGAGAACAATCAGACTTTAGAGGTGAGGCTGGAGGGAAGATGGGTGGATAATCTCTAAATCTGATTTGCCCATTTAAGAACCGGTGATCTGATTTAGTAAATTAGACAAAGACCAAAGTAACAATTACATTTTTGCTTCCGGACCAAAACACTTTGGCTCCAATAAATAAAAAGTTGTATATAAAACAAATAAAATGACGGTTTTAAAAATGAAAACGGCAACAAAACGGTCAATCTTAAATTTAACAGAGACTTCTGCAGAGTTCTAAACTATTTTTTGTCATTTCAAGAGCAAGTCACCCCCTACAAGAAACTTACTTCACTCCCACTTCATGTTTGAAAAATGCAACAAATGCTGTTGCTTGGCAGACCGAGAGGGCGGAGCCGCTAACAAATACACACACAAACATGCTCACAATGGCATTATGACATCATAATGTACCTGATGACATCATAGCATACCTCTTAGCCAATAGCGGTGGCAGATTTAAATTCAAATACAGTGCAGAATTTTTCCCTGACGACGGCGCAATACTGACAGTTTTAGGCAGAATATTTGAATTTTAACCAAGATGCACTGAACTGCCAAATAATTGACTACACGTGTCTGCAGCATGATTAGACACTCCTTTATATAGTTTATCAGCAAAAAAAATGTGATTTGGGGGTGACTTGCTCTTTAACATTTAATGTCTTACTTTAGCTTGATGTACCTTCTCATGAGCGGTTGGAGCACTGTGCTCCCCAGTCGGCGTTTGTGCATCGCCGTCACCTGCTACGTCATGGATTTCTCTGGCTAAGATGGCCAAGTCTTTGGCCAAATCCTGACTCAACCTATCAGTGAGGCAAATATTAAAACAAGAAGAGACTCAATAAGAAAAGTCAGAACAAATTCAGAAAGGTTCGTCTCTGGGAGGTTAAGATGACTTAAAGGTGCACGAAGTAAGAATGACATCCTGGGTACTGCAGCCCACATACCAAAACACACGAGTCCGCTCTGAGCAACCACCTATGGCTCCACTCCAGAAGATGACGAGTTCACTATTTCTTCTAATTCACCGTTAGCATTGTTAGCTCAACATTAGCCTCTAGCCTTCTTCACGCGATGTTAAGAGCAAAACAAAAAGACGTCGGGTACAAAAATAACTTCTGGGGAAAAAAAAAGAGAAAGAAATAACTTTTGGGTCGCTCCTGTTACTGGCTTTGGTCTTGTCCACAATGCTGTTCTTTGCTGGCCAGTATCAAATTACAAATGCTGCTGCAGACTCTGTAACCCCACGAGCTCAAATATGATTGGCTCTGGAACCAGGAAGTATGGAGGCAGGACCGATTCTAAAAAAGCGATTACGTCCCTCTCGGTCCTTTTACACAAAGGAGGAAACCAGCCAGCCAGTGAGAAGGAAATGTGTTTCAATGTAACCTTCTTTCCAACATGATTGAGACAATACAGCTTTGAGACCGTTTCACTGTAAAATTCTTACTTACTGCACCTTTAAAGTCAGCAGAACAGATACACCGAGTGTGTTATCAGATACAGCTGCAAAGACCATACAAATAAATATTAAATATTAAAAACACATATTTGCCTCCATCTGACCAGTCAGGAGAATTTGTTATAACAGAGTAAATAAAATAACCACCGTGCGATCTCAGCACTGTGCGCGCTCCAGCTGTGGAAAGCCTCTCCCTCTCGGTTCTCCTCGTCGGACTCTCTGCTGCTGCGTGGTTTCGGGTGCCGCGCGACCACCGGCTGGGGCCGAGGCTGACCGCGAGGGCTGTGGGAAGCTGAGGAAGGTTGGGAGCGTTTGTGTTTAAAATTGGTCCAGTTTGAGTCGTACTCCTCATCGGAGGTAGAGGTATAGTCAGAGCCTTTCTGTCGTCTCCTAGAGCCTTTCCCATTTGTGAGTTGGTTGGAAAGTGAGGACAGAAAAGATGGGAAAAACAAGAAAAAAGAAGGTACAATGAAAGAAAAACCCCAGGGGAAATAAATAAATAAACACCAAGAACTTCTGTGAGGAATCTCCAAAACAATACCCAGGAGCAAGAGACGGAAAGGTGCCGTGGAAGTTTTTTTTTTTTACTTCTTACCAGATTCCAAACAACTCAAACAAAGAAGAACTTCTCTCAAATTCCAGGATACACACCCCACAAACCCTCAAAATAAGAAAAATCCCACGTTTAGCTGTCAGAACTCCCCGTGCAGACAGGGGGAGAAAATTAGTGATCCAGATGTTAGTGAGTTACCGGAACCAGTTCCCATCACACACACAAATACCGATGACAGGACCAAGGCATCATGTGTTTAAACACTCTTACAAATCTACTTCTGCTTCTGTACTTTAGACACGATTACACTGCAGCTATTCGTCTGTAATACTCACTCGCTGTGCTGCTGGCATACTTGGCGCCGACTGAGCGCGAGCGAGTCACCGCTGGTCTGCTGAGAGCTGCTTTCAGAGGCCGTTCTGCAGGTTTTGTCGGTGGAGCAGTAGAGGTCCTTTGATTGGAGGTGCTGCTTACATCTGTGTTGCGGTTGGAAGATCCTGCGCTCCTGCTTGTCCACTGCGGAGTGGAAGAGGACTCCGTGTCACTGGGTGTGTTAAACGAGCTCGTCCTCCTACGAGGCATGGCCAGCATATCCAGTCTGGAGAGTTTCTTGGGTTCTTGAGGATTCTTCACAAGGGCGTTGCTCGCCTCTTGGGACAACCTGTCTGTTTCTGTCCCCTCGTTGTCTGAGGCCTCCCCCAGGCGAGCCTTGCGGAGCATGGAGGCCCTGGTGGGTCTTGGTGCTGACAAGCTGCTGGTCCGACTCAAGGCCTGAGCCATCCTGGGAGTCTTGCCATCTTCCTTCTGGAAAGGAACGGTGTACTTCCTGTGTGTTTGGCTGCTGCTGCTCTCCTGATCAGAGTAAGGTAAACTCTGAGGCTCATCGCTCAGGTCTACAGATCCAGCTCTTCCTACGCCATGTCTCAGTCCTACTGTCCGCCTCACAGCCTCCGTCCTGCTTAAACCACAAGAAGGAGGCTTTTCAGGCCGGTGATTTGAGTCCTGACTAGCTACGTTACTAGAAAACGTGTCTCTTTGACGGACGTCTGCAGCAGTTTTTTTCAACAGTGTGTTTGTTTTGGTGTTGTTGCTGTGATGGCTGACTGTGCTGGAGGTGTCCACATCAGAATCCCCAGAAGGTGAGTCCAGTGTGGGAGACGGTGTGGCCTCTGGGTGGAGTCTGGCTGTCAGAACTGCCAGGACATCCTCCGTCTGTCTGAGGTAGGACTGGGTGTCCTGACCGCCCCCCTGAATGAACCCAGGTTCCGGGTCTCTTTCAGCGGGTAGACTGGAGATGTTTGGCAGCCTGGCGTTGCTCGGCCTATCCTTAGTGAAGCTCTCCTGCCTGAATAATGATGGCGCCGCAGCCTCTTTGCCCTCTGACCTCTGCATATTTTGGCCTAGAATTGGTTCTGATGCGGTGGACTTGACCATATCAGAGACCTGAATGTCTTTTTGTTTAGTAAGAGTGGCTGTTGAAAAAGTTTTGTTTACGAGTTTTCTTTCAGCCTTGGGCGTGGTCGCCTTGAAGGCTCCGCGTTGTGGTTTCGACCGCTCCTCTGAGCCGATGTAGAAAGCTGTTGCCTTGACAGCCGGTGTGGGCTTGTCCTCCGGATCAGAAAGATGTCCCTTACTGTGCTCAATGATGGATCCGTCCTCTGACTTGCTGGCATCACTCAGGCTGTCGGGCTCCACATCATCTTGCACAGTTAACATATGAGCGCCATCTTGAGTCTCGAGGGCAGCGGAGCAGCCGTCCTTCACGTCAAACGTTGAATTGGGGTTATAATGAACATAGATGCTTGGAGTTGGGATGTCACTCTTCTCTCCCTGCGGTACCTGTGGCAGAATACGCCGAGCCTTTGAAGCATCGGCATCCGAGCTGTCGAGGTGTTGACCGAGTGCGGTCTTGGGAACGTCGGCTGCGCCTCGCACTGAAAAACAGTTTTAATATTAGCCACGCATCCTGAAGATCATTCATATTCATCGGGGTGTCTCATTATCATTTCAAATAGACCAACATCTCGTGAGGTGGCTTACCCCCTCCTGACAGTTCCATCTGGGAGGGGATGTCAAAGAGGCCGGGTGGAGGCCCAGAATCCATGTAGCTGTCTGCCAAGCTGGCCCAGCACGACATCCACTTAGGAGCCCCCGGTGCCAACGCAGCTGCTCGCTGAACCTGAGCGAGAAAAGGCCCAACATATTTTTTAAAAAGATCTTATATTTTAGAAGAAAGCAAACAAAATTATCACCGATTGTCACGGTTAGCATGAAACATAAAGGATCAGTGGTGAATATGTGGTGCAGCCTCTGAACTAATGTGGATTTAGTTCTTAACGTTTGGTTAGTCAGGAAACCCCAAATAATGAATCACCGCCTGTGAGGAAAGATGAAATCAGGGATTTTATTTAAAAAAAAAAAGACTTAATGAATAAAACGTGAGTTAAGACCAAGATCCCAAATAAACACAAAACCCCGGCTGATTTAAGTGTTATTCTAACCGATGCTACACGGATTTTCCCTTTACTGACCCCACCCTGATCAAAAGGGGTTACCTGTACCTGTCCCTGCTCTGGAGCTGGCTTCACCTCCCCACAGCTACCCTGTCTAACCTCCTCCCTGCCCTGACCAATAGCAGGCCTAAAAGCTGACGAGGTTTCTGCTTGGCTCTGGTTGATTGGCTCTGGGCTCTCAACAACACCAAACACCTGTCAACAACAAGCGAAGAGGGTGAAACAGCAAGGCTACTGGTGAACAGCAAAGAGAATTTTAGTTCAAACCGTTGACTTGCCTGGTTGATCTTTTTCCGTGCCTCTTCCAGCTCTTTATCCTGAACATCTGCTTCGATGGTGTAGGTTCCTGCATCGCTCAGGTCGTCCTCGTCTTCATTCCTAGGGCCTTTGACGTCCACACTCAGAGTGGACGTGGTTGACGTCTTTAGAGGAACGGGGTGGTCGACTGGAGAGGAGGTCTGAGGCTGGTGATGACGCTCAGATAGAGGAGGACTTGCGGAGGTCTTATTGGACTGGAAAACCATCTCTGCCCTTTTCAAAGCCGCTTTGGGAGAACTGGAAGCGTCTTTTTCCCAGCTGGATGAAGAATTCTGCTTCTGCTTGAGGAGCTCGGCAGTGAACTCCCGTGAGAGTTTGGACTTCCGACCGACGCTGCTAAAGGGCCTTGAAGACGCAGAGGAGGAGGAGCGGGAGTAAAAGCTGGTGCTGATCCGGTCTTCGGTCTTTTCCCGTCGGAGCGAGCCGGCTCTTTGAAACCCTGATGAAGACGAGTCTTTTAGAGGAATGGTGTATCTCTGGGTGGATGGAGTGCTGGAGGATGAAGGCAGGACGTGTCTCTCCACTGAGGGACTTGAAGGTTTGCTTGCGTTCTCCAGCTGGAGCCGATGGCCTGTAGGCTCAGGTGGGGGGGTGGTACTGGTGAAGACCTGGGAGAGTCTCTTTCTGGAATCATCAAACTCGATAACAAACGTTTGTTGAAGCTCAGACTTGCTGTGACTGGAGAGGGACTGGGACTCTGGTGGTGAATGAGACAAAAGCTCCTCTGAGTCTGGGGAGGTTCTTGAAGAAACCCATGGAACATCCTGAGCTTCTGATTGGACAAAGTCCTTTCCATTGATGGCAGGATGCCCTGAATCACTGCGAGCGCCGTTCTCGCTGTAGTTCTCTGATGGCAGCGACACAAAGTCAGCTGATCATTACCGCACCGTATTAAATTAACACACATTGTTTACTTACCGGCTGTGATTCTCAGGCCTGACGAGTGGCTGCCGGCTTTATACAAGTTTTCACCCTGAGACATCTTCCTCAGCAGGCTGGCGTTGCTTTGGACCAGCCAATCAGCTACTTTGCTCTCAGCTGACATCACCTCTGTAGGAGCAGTAGCAGCCTCCGTGGCAGCTTGCTTGTGCGTTTGGCGCAAAGCAAACTTGGTCACGTGGTCTTTGATCTTCATTTTGCCCGGGGTGCAGTCGTCAAACTCAATGGTGAAGGAGGCGTGGCTTTGGACTACAGGTGGCGTCGGGGTCGAGGAGATGGACTGAGAGGTGTCCGAGGAGTCCCTTGTTGGAACCTCATGAACCTGAGACACTTGTTTCTTGGTAGGTTGCTGCTGGAACTCTTCTGTTGGGATCTCGAAGTAGCTGGGCTCTCGGCGGCAGGAGAGCGTGGACTTGGCGTGACTGTCTGACTGAGAGCGGCCGACCTCTTTAGCAGGCTCTGTTTTAAGTGAAAGCAGAAGTACAGCAACATCGTCACTGCTCTGCCACAGTCAGACCCATTTTACTCAAATCTATGTCAACTGTGTCCGTTTGAAACAATGCACCATTAATAACATGAAGAATCCAGCTGTTAGGCTGAGAAAATTCATCAACCAGTTGGTCTTTAGTGGCCAAATAGCACTTCAGGAGCTCAGAGTCCGCTGCAGGGTAGCTGAGCTGTGATAATCTGCTTCAGTCTGGGCATCATGAAGGAACAATGACCCTTCCTCCCCCCTCTGGCAGCTTAGAGGGTCATAATCCATCACGAGGTGGACAGGCTCTGCCCAACGGTCTGGCATACACTCCCCAACTGGCAGCCAGAGACCTGCCCAAGGCTTAAAACCATCCATCTCTCAATGACCGGCAGATAGCAGCCTGTCATTAGAAATTAAGATCCAGTCCACAGATATGAGACTAAACCAGAACAATTACAATGTATGTTTACATTAAACGAACAAAAGACTCATAAGGATGGCGTTTAAATCTATGTTAGATGTATTCTCTGATCTGGAGAGTCGTGTTTACCTCGGTTCTGCTTCGCGTTGGCTGGGTCTTCATCCTCCCCCCACCAGGACGGCTGGCCATACAGAGGAGTCGGTTTGGATATGGGAGAATCTGTGGGAGCTGACAGACAAACACGAAATCTTTCATAAAATGTTTCTGAATTAAAATGTTTTTACATGAACAAGTGATGAATACACTATAGCATACATGCTAGCGTTAGGCTTTTACTCCACGTTGTCATGACAGACAAAACTATTGTACAAGGCACAGGAAGACAACTCCGTTAATCCTCAAAGAAAAGAGACAAAAGAACAAACTCATCAGAGTAAATTGAGGCTTCTTGTGAACACGATACTATTTGCTCATACATCCCTTACTTTACCAGCTAGGAGAGAGAGAGAGAGAGAGGTCTTATCCTGCTCGGGTGTTTACTCAGACTTGTATCCTGGCATGCTAGTACACACATGCCAGCAAGCCTATTAAAAAGGACTAATCGGATAACCTTGGAGCCACTTTTTAGCCAGATAGACGGTACAAACAAGCTCCCTGAACGTTTAATGCGGCTACACAAACCTCAAAGCATCAGCAACGTGCTACCGCTGTTGCCTTGGACACACAATAAGGCATAAACAGGGTGGCAGAAGAAGCAGAGGAGCTTCTTAACAATTCCTTTCCACTTACTCAGCTCTCTGCTTTTAGCTAAAGAAAGCACGAGCGAGCTCTGGTCTGACGTCTGAATAGGAATCCACCAAAGAAATACACTAAAGGGAGAGTAAAGTGATTATTTATTGCAATGTAATAGAAGTAGGAACAAAAAGTGAGTTTTTAAACAACTTGTGTGTTTTTGACCAAATATTAAGTTTTAAATGTAGATTAGGAGATGATCTTGTCGTCCAAGCAACCCCCTTCTTTAGGCTTTCACTGGAAGGTGGAGCCACGTCTCCAGAAAACAGGTACATGCCATCCTTCAGCTGTTGTCTCCTAACGCACCTGTGTGTATCTAGCTAGTATGCTAGCTAATCAGTAGAGGTGCTGAAAAAAATCGATTCAAGTCTGAATCGGGATTCTTATTCACAAAGGTTCACAATCGATTCCAAGAACTCAAATATTTGGCATGTTGCAGGTTTCAGATGCACTTTTTTGATTTTTGTTAGGAGAGTCAGTACTCTGATTACTTTTGTGGTCTCATAAATTGAGATGATTTATGTTTGAATCTGCTGATAAGAGGGCACTTGAATGTAACTGTTTCCATACTCAGAAATCTGAGATATTCTCATATTTATTTTCTAAGTTGATAAATGAGTACTCAGGATTACTCATGTAACTTGTTTCTACACATACTTGAAAAGTATTTGACCGTATTACTTTCAAAGCTACTGTTAGGTAACTACAGATTTGTTGTATTTTACAAAGTAAGCAAAAATAAATGTTGCATTTTGGTCAAAAGATTGTTTCTGTTTACAGTTTTAGAATCACTATTTTATATTGTAAATTCGCATTTTTGGAGCATGACCAGTTTAAAGTCAAATAAAAATGTCCCATAGCTTTAACTAACTTGTACAACAAAGTAGTTCATCCTGGAGCTGACACTCTTTGTTAATACTGATTAGGGTTGTCACGGTATGAAAATTTAACCTCACGGTTATTGTGACCAAAATTATCACGGTTTTCGGTATTATCGCGGTATTTTTTAAGCGGTGTTGCATATGTTCAGAAAGCATTGATAGTCCTGTTCTACACAAACTGAAATAGTTCTGAAAAGGTTTAACAGTGTTTATTAAACCTAAAATAACACAAAGCCTTAGCAAAAGTGCAACTTTTCACAAGTAAAGGAACAAATAGCTTATTTTTCTGGAACATGTTACAGTAGTCAGTGCAGGTTTAAATTATACAAATCCAAACATTCAAAACATAAACAATATGTAAACAAATCAAAGAAACACCACTTGTTTTCTCATACACTTGTTTTCTTCATTATCAAAATGAAAATCTAAAACTCCAGTCCACACTTGACTTGAGCACTGTACAAGTCAACCTTAAAAAAATATGTATTTAAAACAAACAGCCACTTTAAACAAATTACTAAAATAACTACTACACTATGTAATCAAATCCAAATGTTCAAGTATAAATGGCATTGAATAAATAAACAAATCAATGACAAGGAACTAATTGTATATTTCTCTTCATCATCAACAAATAAGATGCTTCATCCAGCAACAGGGTGTCCGTGACACGGTTTAAATGCTGGCAGAGGACGCTGCGGCTGCAGTATATAGTGACTCGTTGCATTCTCCCTCAACCAAAAGTCCTCACGTCATGCATTTAAGCTAAAATGCTAATGTTATCTTACCTTGCACTGGCTGTAGAGACGCGGGTGATGGTCACGCAGATGTGCCATTAGATTCGAAGTGTTGCTGCCTTTTGCAGACACTTGTTTCCTGCATGTTCTGCAAACGGGATAGCCGTCTTCTATTAACTGTCCCTCAGCATTTTTCAGAAATCCAAAATATGCCCATACTTCCGATTTAGTCTTCTTTGAGGGCGGATGGATGTCCTGGGCGCTGCCGTCTCCTCCTTCGGCCATTATTTCAGCTTCAAAGTTTTGGTGCCGTTGCAAACTAAAAAGTGCGTGTGCGCGCCGCGGGAACTTCAGCTGAAGCGACGGTGGCTGGTAAGGGTCATCGCGCCGAAACCGCGGCCACGGTAAACCCACCGAGATAATATAGTTTTTTAAAAACTGGACGGTTATTTTTATTGTCAACTTTTTTGCCGGGGTTTACCGCTATACCGGTTACCGTGACAACCCTAATACTGATTGTGAATCGATTTAAATTGAGAATCGATTCTGAATCGAATCGGCACCCCAAGAATCGGAATCGAATCAAATCGTGAGTTGCTCTAAGATTCACATCCCTACTAATCAGTGTGGTGGTTTTATTTATTTTTTTGGCAACTTTTAACTTTCATGGTTTATTCTCAACTCTAAAATCACAGCAGCTCAGCACCACCAACAATCTGGGAAATTTCCACGAACAACAGGTCAAAGCCTTCAGAACCCGACCTGAAAATCCTCCCACTCGCTCTCCCGTCAACTCCTGACACATCGATGCACGTTGCTATGACAACAACCTGACATGACAGCTCTGCCAACCAACAGAGGGCAGGCTGACTTTACAAACAACAGGTCCATCACGTAAACGTTTCCCAACAAGAGCAGAACCAGACTCTAATCAGAACATGTCAAACAACTCCTTAAATGAGATTTGCAAATAGAACAGAACATTGTGTCTGTCGCACTAGCTAGCCTGGCTGTGGCTTCACTTCCTGTTCAGCTGCTCCAAGCTGATAATGTGTGATTTGTGTACACAGAGGGGTATGAGCAGAGGGGAAAGGGACAGTCGGAGGGCAGTTTGATGGATGAGTCATAATCATAATCATAATCCAATCATTTAGAACGAGACTTTCACAACGACTGGACGTGGTTTTCCCCGATTATGCATTTCAGAGGCAATAAAAATGAGTCCTTTGTCAAAAAACTTTTCATTTATTGGTTGCCATCAGTATGTGAGAGCATTTCAAGCAATATGGCAACAAACAAAAAATTCCAGCAAAACATCATCCACTCCCTGTTTAAGTCCTAAAGATTTTTTTCTTTATTAAATTATTTTGTACATGGAATCCTCCTCATGAATAATTTATTAAAAATGTTTAGATAAACAATTTTCCTGGTTGTAAATGTGCTGAATGGAGGCTAATCTTCATGATCTTTCTCCAGACACTACCCTGCGTGGGAAAAAGTTGGCCTGAGTGAGTCTCACACTATACGTTTGCAGCATCCTGCCCTGCGGACAGCCGGAGGTCTGGATTCACCCCACAGCTCACTCCAGTGTAGAAAAACTCTAAGAATGTGAGAAGCTTATGGAATTAAACAGAAGCTCTCCACAAGAGAAAACCAGTTTAACACAAAGGACAGGAGGCGATCGGGTCAAAGAGAACGCGTTTGCATAAAGTCTACAGAAACATGCAAGGCAGGTAACCCAGCGAGAGTGATCCTTCTGCCTCAGATAAAGACACTGCTAAAGACACCAACCCTCAACACAAAGAAACTGTTAGAAGTGTTTCGTTTTATTTCCTCAGACAAGCTTCGCTCTTATCTTGTTGTGTCAGGTCACTGAACAAGACAGCAAAGGTACGTTTAGTCATCTCGTCTATGAGCGGGTTTAAAGCAGCACAGAAGCTGCTTTGGCTGCATAAGCAGCTTCTAAAAACTGTTTGAAACGTCTGTAGTGGGTACAGGCTTCAGATCAGTGAAGGCATGTGGAGGAGCATGAGGCTGCAGCGGGAAAAGTCCTATTTTAGGCACTGGAGGAAGTTTTTTTTCCTCACTACACACACAGGGCCAATTATGGGGGGAAAAAAGCAATGAACTGCTGAATCAACAACAGCTGCAATAGTTTGGTATGGTCAGTGTGAATGAGTTTCATTCATGAAGCTCTTCGTTCTACCGTGGCTTACACGATGAACTCCACACACGCAGAAGAGCCACTTAGGCTCAAAATCCTGTGATTCTTCTAGAACATGAACAAACCACCGTGGTGCTTTTGGCTGCGCCACACCTTCTTTCAGCTGTCAGGAACGTCTGACAGAGATAAGGCAACTCCTCACCCTTTTAGCGCTCACTCGTATATGCTCATCCTGCCATTAGACGTCAGGATCGATTTCTTTACCGCCACAGGATTGTCACCCGAGACTCTCTATTCACGCGGCATCCTAATCCCCCGCCAGGGAAGCGCTTTATAAACGAAGCCACAGTTGATCCATCAGGTGATCTGTGGCCACAGTTGAGCAGCACATGGAGACCTACAGACACTTCCTTTTCCTTGTGTGAGAACAGGATATTCATATCCTCTTTGGTTAGAACTGTTCCTCTTAATCCACCTGCCTTCCTTCTGGTGTTTCTGTGCGGAGTGGTTTACCTGTAAGTGACCGGGCTCTCCGCTCGGCCCTATCCTGTTGTCTGAGACTGGAAACTGCATCTTTGCTCTTCTCTGAGCTCTGGAGCTGCTGCTGCTGCTTTTCCTTCGACTTGGCTTCTAGGGCTTTTATACTGAGCTGCAATTGGCTGGTGTACTTCTCATGCTGGGAAGAGAGACAGGAGGGAAGCAGGATGTGAAAAAAAAAACCTCCTGCCGATAATCAGCACACAGGCAACTATTCTCAAACACATCAAGAAGGATTTCCACCGGGGGCCATTCCACTGAAAACAGTTCACTTCAAATGACAGCGCTGACTTTAGTACTACAGTCAAAACAGAACAGTTCCTGCAAGGACAGAAAAGTTGCACGTCGTTTCATCCGCCAGCCATGTGGCTAAATAGCCACTGATAATGTCAGCAAAGACGTTGAAGCGTTTTGTTTGTTTAAAACCTCTGATTACTTCTCATAAATAAGCCCCGATGTTTCGGATGAAATAAAAGAACCTCATCATGAGCAGCAGTGACGGCTGAGCATTGTGTCGGACCTCTAGAAGACAGAAAAGCAACAGGACGTGAGAATAACCTACCTTCAGAGCTTCCTCTGGGACCTTGTGTTGACTCTTCTCCAGGATGTACACATGAGCATGTGGAGAAAGAGTTAAAGTTCTCTAATCCGTATTTATTTAGAAGAGTTTGTA